GTAGCAAAAATATCTAAAATTTTACCTGTTTCTTCTTGTTGTTGTTGTTGCTTTGTGCCGTCGAGTCACCTGCGACACATAGCGACCCTATGTACAACAGCCCTAAACTCCGCTCTGTCCTGTGCCAATCGCACTGTCTCTGACACTCCCATCCCAATTATCCCAGTCACTGAATCAATCCACCTCATAGAGGGCCTTCCTCTCCTGCGCCGTCCCTCCACCCTCCCAAGCATGATGTCCCTCTCCAAGGACCGGTCCCTCCTCACAACATGTCCAAAGTATGTTAGACGGAGCCTCAGAATCATTGCCTCCAAGGAGCCAGCCGGTTTAACTCTTTCCAGGACAAATCTGTTTGTTTTCCTAGCAGTCCATGGTATTCTCAATACTCTTCTCCAGCACCACAGCTCAAAGACATCAATTCTCCTTCTATCCTCCCTGGTCATTGTCCAACTCTCTGATGCATAACAAGTGATTGCGAAGACCATAGACTGTATCAGACGCACCTTAGTCTCCAGAGAGACACCATTGCTCTTCAGTACTTTGGAGAGGTCCCTAACAGCAGACTTCCCCATGGTAATGCGCCTTTTAATTTTCTGGCTGCTGGTGCCAAGACTGTTGACTGTGGAGCCAAGCAAGCTAAAGCTGTGTACAATCTCAATCTCTTCACCATCCATACTGATGCTGCCAATTGGTCCAGTGGTGAGAATCTTTGTCTTCTTGACATTGAGCCTCAATCCATATTGTAGGCTGCAGTCCTTGACCCTCTGCAGCAGGCGCTTCAGGTCCTCTTCAGTTTCAGCAAGCAGGGTTGTGTCATCCGCATAGCGCAGGTTGTTGATAAATCATCCACCAATCTTGACCCCACATTTCTCCTCATAGAGCCCAACCTCCCTGATAATCTGTTCTGCATATAGGTTGAAAAGGTATGGAGATAGGATGCATCCTGGCATTGTATTGGTCATCTCTAGGCTTGAACCTGTATGCAGTGTTCTCACAGCCTCCCCAGCACAACAGGCTTAGTAGGAAAGAAGAGGCAGTTGGGGGGCGAGGGGCAGGGATATATCTATAAGAAGTGGGCGGAGGAGGAGGATAGAGGAGGGAACCTGGGGAAGAAAAAGCCTTTCCTGTTAACAAGGCTGGATTGTGATGAAGTTGTGAGAACCTGAGACTGGGGCCTTAACTACTTTAAATAAATGCTTATGGGCTGATGGTCATATTGTTGCATGAGCTCATCAATAGGATAAATACTGCTCAAACTAATTGCCCTATCATCTAACTCATAATTGACCCAGCACTGGTTTTCTGAGGCTATACAGAGAAGACTGCCCATCTTTCTCCTGAGGTGCCCTAGGTAGATTTGAAACTGCCAGATATTGTGGCTTTTGGATTAGCAACACAACTCCTTTCGGGTGGATAAACCACCAGAGCTCCTCGTGAGTACTATTATGTCACCATTTTGAGAGGGGAAAAGAAAGCCCAGAGAGGTTAAGTAATTTTTCCCAAGGTCACATTGCCCGTAAGTGGCAAAGCTGAGAAATCAAACCCAGGTCAGCCCAGTGCCCACCTGCAGCTGGTGGGTGATGCCGAGTGAATTCACTATTCTTCAGTTGCAGTGTTTTCATACACCCCAGTGATTTTCTCATTCCAAGCTTTGCTCTTTCTGAAGCTCTGTGACCCTGTACAAGAAAAGCTTGATTCTATAACACCAAAAGAGTTTTTACCTTATTGCCTCAGAGTCTCAGGAGAATGGAGGTTTACAATTCCCAGGTGTCAAGGGTTAATATTTATGTTCATTCAATCACTCAGCAAACATTCACTAAGTCTCAGGCTGGACTGAAAGGACCGGTAGGGAACCCAGCTCACCTACTGCCTGCATGGTCTAGCACTGACCACACAAGAAGGAGGTCTGTTTATCAGCATAAAAACATAAATACAATTTCAGTAACTTTTTAAAATTATAAAAGCAATGTTTGCAAATGTGGAAAGTAAGGTTTCAGTTATAATTTTGGCATATTGCTTTCCAGGCTTTTTTCTAGTCACCAATTTCAAAGAGCTCATTTTAGCCAGCTCTTGTAGCTTTTGGAGTTCTGCTTGCCTAGTGGTTAGGAGCTGCACTGCTAATCCAAAGGCATGTGGTTTGAATCCACCAGCTGCTCTATGGGAGAAAAATAGTCAAGCTCCTCCCATGTGATTTACTGCCTCTGAAAAACCCCTGGAGAATCAGCTATGAGTCTGTTCTAATTCCATAGTACAGAACAACAGTTTAACATTTTACATAAATGTTAAATAGTGTACTTTTTTGTTTAACTTTTCCCACTATTGTTATAAAAATCTATAACACAAAAAAAAGAAAAAATCTGTAACACATATTTGTCAATTCAGCCTTTTTCACATGTAAAACCTAGTATTATCAATATATTAATTGTTGTTGTTATGTGCCATCAAGTCACCTGCGACTTATAGTGACCCTATGTACTACAGCCCTAAACCATGCTCTATCCTGTGCCAAACTTATTGTCTCTGACACATCTACCCCCTTTACCCCAGTCACTGAATCAATCTATCTAATCAAGGGTCTTCTTCTCCTTTGCTGTCCCTCCACCCTCCCAAGCATGACGTCCCTCTCCAAGAACTGGCCCCTCTTTGCAACATGTCCAAAGTATGTCAGACGAAGCTTCAGAATCCTTGCCTCCAAGGAACAACCTGGTTTAACTCTCTCCAGGACAAACCTGTTCATTCTCTTAGCAATCCATCGTATATTCAATACTCTTCTCCAACACCACAGTTCAAAGGCATCAATTCTCCTTCTATCATTGTCCAGCTATCTGATGTATAGCAAGTGATTGCAAAGACCTTGGCCTGTATCAGGCACACCTTAGTCTCCAGACTGACATCATTGCTCTTCATTACTTTGGAGAGGTCTCTAACAGCAGACTTACCCAATGCAATACATCTTTTCATTTCCTGGCTGTTGGAGCCAAGAGTGTTGTTTGTGGAGCCAAGCAAACTAACGTTGTTTACAATCTCAATCTCTTCACCATCCATACTGATGCTGCCAATTAGCTCAGTGGTGAGAATCTTTGTTTTCTTGATGTTGAGCTTCAATCCATATTGAAAGCTGCAGTCCTTGACCTTCTGCAGCAAGCACTTCAGGTCCTCCTCAGTTTCAGTAAGCAGGGTTGTGTCATCTACATAATGCAGATTGTTGCTGAGTCTTCCTCCAATCCTGATGCCACATTTTTTCTCATACAGCCCAGTCTCCCAGATAATCTGGCCCACATACAGATTGGGAAAAATATGGAGAGAAGACACATCCCTAGCATACATCCTTTCCAATTTTGAATCATGCATTGTTTCCTTGCTCTTTTCTGATGACCGCCTCCTTGTCCAAGTATAGATTTTACATATGCACAATCAAGTGTTCTGGGATTCCCATTCTTCTCAGAGTCAGCCGCAGTTGTGTCCCACACAATCAAACGCCTTTGCATAGTCAATGAAAAACAGGTAGACATTCCTCTGGTGCTCTCTGCTTTTAGCCACGATCCATCTAACTAACATTAGCTATACTATCCCTAGTATCACGGCTTCTTCTAAACCCATCCTGCATATCTGGGAGTTCTCTGTTAATGTACTGTTCCAGTTGGTTTTGGATCATCTTCAGCAGAACCTTGCTTTCGTGTGATATTAATGATATTGTTCGATAATTTCTAAACTCTTTTGGATCGCATTCTTATGATATTAATTTTATTACTGACAAATTTCCCTTTATAAACAGAACCTCATGCTAAACAATGGCACCCTCCTCTCTTTTTCATCTCCCTGGGTGACCACTAGTAAATTTTGGTATCTATTATGCACCTATTCTTGATTAGACAGTTTTTTAATCACAGCTCTTCTACTTCCCTTTCTTCTAACTTGGACTCTACAGTCAGGTTTAGGGCTAGTTGTTTTTTTGTTGGGTTTTTTTTTTTAGACAGGAATTTTATGTGGTGGAGATAAGAAAGAATCACGAAAGTGGGGTTAGCAATCTAGAGGAGAGGGTTTTGGATTTCCTACATATCAGACTGACTTGCCACAGCTGGCCCATTGCCTCTGTCCTTCTCCTAGGACAGCCTACCATCCGGCACTCAGCCCCTCTCAGCATTTCCTGCCTATAGGCTCTGAAACCCAAGGGGGGTTGCTATGAGTAGGAATCAGCTCATAGCTACTAATCGGAATCAACAGTGGGGTTGGCTTTGAAAATGCTTGAGAGTAAAAGGATCTGAGTGTGAGGCCAGAGCAGGCGCCAAGAATTCCAGAGGCCACACTTGGGCACTGGAGCATTCAAGCATGAGAGGGCCAGCTCCTACGGGAGCCAGAGCCCCAGGATGCTTCAAGCACACAGGACTTCAAAGTCATCCCATCTGGGGACAAATCTAGATTTTGTTGTCCAGTCCGTGTGACTTAACTTCTTTCAGCTTCAGTTTCTTCATCTGTAAAATGGAGATAACACCTGAAAGGTTTATGTGAAGGCTAAATGAATAATCATGTGAACTACTTGTCATATAAAAAGCAATCACTGTTCTATGGATGTGAACAGAAGGCTGCACCAAGCCCTATACTCTAGCTTTGGCTAAGAAAAGGGACCGTCCCCTCCCTCTACTCTGCCCCATCTCAGTTAGTGGTGCCCTGAGGAGACAGCTACCTGAGGGGGGTGACAATTCTGGCTGCACATAAATGAGCGGGACACCTGAGCTGACACTCACCACAGACTAAGAAATGCTTGACAAACAGGCCAACTTCTAATTTGAGGCTTCCTGCTCCTGCCTCCTCCCCCCTCAGTGTTTCAGGCAGCCCCCTTCCTGCCCAGCGACCTTCCCTGTCAGAGCCTCTTCCCTCCCTGCCCCCTCTGTCCGCCCTTCTGTCCCTCTGCCATTTCCCTTCCCTCCTTTGTCCTGTCCCTCGCCCGCCCACTGCCTGACCCTGGGGGCGGCCCTCACTGCGTCCCTTCCTCCCTGCAGGCCTGGCCCTGGACCGGCTCAGCGTCCCTGACCCAGCCTGGATGGCGAGGCTGTCACTGCCCCTCACGACCAACTACCGCGACAACGTGTGCTCCCCGGACCTGGAGGCCTCGGAGGAGCCTCGGACTTTCCAGACGTTCGGGAAGGCGGCAGGGCCCGAGCTGAGCCCCGCGGGCACGCAGCTGGCCAGCACCTTCGTTTCGGAGATGAGCTCACTGCTAGAGATGTTGCTGGCGCAGCGCTCCAGCGTGGTGCCCGTGGAGGCCGCCTCCGAGGTGCTGCGGCGGCTCTCAGTCTGCGGCAGGACCCTCAGTCTGGACCTGGCCACCAGCGGGGCTTCGGACGCCGGCAACCAGGCGGGGACAGGTGGAAAAGACGCCGCAGGCAGGCCTGGCGGCAGCAGCAGATGCCTATGAACACACTTTGAGAGTCTCTGAAACCAAGAACGGAGGCCCTAGGAGATATTAGGGAGCCCCAGGTCTGGGGATCCCGCGAGACATGAGATTGTTTCTAAAATCTTTGAAGTCACTGGCCAGAGGCACCCGATAACTTTTAAGTGACCTGTGCTGCCCCTGCAAAGGAGGCAGGGGCCCCAAGCTAACAGTTCTCTGACCAAAGCAAGCTCCCTTGTTAAGGACAGGCTCTGAATTTTTGAGGAAGGGGCAATTAGGACTGAGATAAGTGTTTGCTGGCAAAACACAAGAGTGCAAAGACTCCATCTTCTTGTGGAATAGATGCCCAGAAGTGTCACAAGCAGGAGAAGATGGTCTTTTTTTTTTTCTTTAAATTTATTTTTATTTCATTATTTTTTGTGTGTACCGTCAAATCAGATCTGACTGGTACAGGAGGAGATTGTTCCTCCTTCTCCAGCAGAGCATCTGGTGGATTTGAACCATGCACCTCTGAGACTGTAGTTGCAGCTTCTTGCCACTAGGCCACCAGAGCTCGCCGAGAAGATGGTCTTGTTGAATACTAAGGGGCGGGAAGCTGGATCTTGGGGGCCCCGGACAATGTTCTCGGACCTACCAATAAAGGACAAGCACTGGTATACTCTCCTGTTTGCACTTGTTAAGAGGGAGGCAGGCAGAGTGGGTGAGGGGCCCACTGGCTAATGCACAGTATTAGGAGCACAAATGATGGGCCCATGTGTACTCATGAGTCCACCCCTCTATTGCTACATTATCCAGAAAAACCTGCAGCTCACCTGGAAAACTGGAGCTAAGAAAAGCATAACTATTTATAGAACATTTCTCTAAGTCATGTACCAGGTTTTACAATATGCTTTCATTTAATTTTCACAACAGCTCTGGAAGGGTGGTAATATTATTCACGTTCACAGACAGAAAATTAGTCTAGGAGAGGTTAGGAGCTTTGCCAAAGATTCCTCTCACACAGGCTCGTCCAATACCAAAGCCCATGTCCTTGTCCTTGACCTTGATACTAGATGAGTAGCCAAAGAAAATGGAAAGCTTCCAAAGTTGATCTTTTGCCATAAGTGGACTTTATCTGAGCTTCTTTCAGGAAACACTGTGAAATGAACATTTCCAATGCTGCTCAGGCGTGCATATCTCTGTAAACTCTCGAGCACAAAGCAGGGGGATTTGGGCTCTAGCCTGAGCAGACCTAAGCTTTTGTAGGTCCCTGACCCTCCTCAGCCAGCAGCTCTTCAGGTACAAACGTCATCTTTCCCACCCCACTGTCTGTGGGGAAATCTGCCTCTTATCATAACAGGCTTGCTCTGTGAATTCAGAACAGTGCATGAAATGGGTCTATGAAACGGATAGTGACAGGAGGAGACCTTCCATGGGGAAGAGTGAGTGAAGAAACAGCAAATATTTGCCCAAGGCTCAACCTTATAATTTTACTGGAAATTTCCAAGCATTAAGTCAGCTAGATTCTCAATAGCACAAGACACTCTAGACAGTGTTTCTTCTCTGCTCCTTCTTTTGTCCTCTTTCAGAGCTCAGAACTGATGTCCACAGAAATGGGCCAATCATCTTTTCATCTAAAAACAATGGAAATCAAACATAGCTGAGATGCCGAGTGGCATCGTCATTTTGTTTTACAGATGAGGAAAATGAAGCCCAAAATAATTATGAACTAACTTAAGAGGCAGGGAAGAACTGCGTCTCTGATCACTATCTCTTGGCCTGAGTGAACTTTTTATGTGTGCTTTTCAAACCAGTTCATAGAGCTGTTGGATTCTGAAGGTCAATGAGGAAGGCCAGACAAAGATCAAGGAGGCTGGATCTCTGGGCTCCCACCAGCCCAGGTAGGTGCTGGGCACAAAGTCGACATTTGATGAATGTTTGTTAAATAGATGAATGAATGGATGTATAAATGAATATTCCAAATAGAGACTCTTGTCATTATAGGAGTTCCAGGTCAGATTTTATTAGCTTTTTTAAAGAAAAAAAACTGCATCATGTAAAGTTTCAAGCCACAGCACTTGGGTAGATCATGCTGATCGATGCCCCAGTTACTAGTGAATTTTTGGGGCAAAGCTCATACTGGAGAAGGTATAAGGAGAAGAGATGGGGAGATGTGACCTGAGGACCCTGGAACCCTGGCTGGTGGCTGGACTACTAGGAACACTGGATCACTCTACTTCAGAAGTCTGAAATCTGTAGTCTTTGTGCCTTCTCAATAGGAGGCAACACTTTGTGCATAAGCATTTCTCTGGGCAGATGATACAAAGCTCTCCTCAAATTCTCAAAGGAACATATGACCTGTAAAAGGTTATGCAGCACTGCTATAAGACACTATCAAACCTCTGCAGACATGGGCAATTTTAGTCCCTAAAGAGTCTGAACATTTGTCTATTTCAGCTCTTCATTTTATAGCTAAGGACGAAGAAAGACAGAAATGTTAGATGACTTGCCCAAGGCCACATAGCAGGTTTGTGGTATGTAACTAGTATTTGAATGTGGGATTTAGTAGATGCTCTTCCAAATATATCAAGTGTTCTTTCTTTTTCATTTTTGTTGTTGAGAATATATACCACAGTTGTTTTTGTTGTGTATCATCAAGTCTATTTCTACTCATGTGGCCCTTTAAGACAGAGGATTTCCTAGGCTGAAATCTTTGAGAGCAGATAATTTTCCTCCATGGAATGGCTGTTGTTGTGAGGTGTGCTGAGTCCAGTATGACTCATAGTAACCCTGAGATCTGAACCCTGTCCTGTTCTGTGCCATACTCATCATCTCTGATCTACTTGAGCCCATTACTGCAGTCTCTGTGTCAACCCACCTGGTTGAAGGTCTTCTCCTTCACTGATCCTCCACCTTTTCAAGCATGATGTCTCTTTCCAAGGGACAGCCCCAAAACATGCCCAAAGCATGTGAGATAAAGCTTTGCCATCCTTGTCTCCAAGGTGCACTCTGGCTGCACTTTTTCCAAAACATATCTTTTCATTCTTTTGTCACAATTCAAAGGCATTTATTCTTCTTCTCTCATCTTTGTTCATTGTCTGGCTCTCAGATGCATAGAAAGTGATTGTGACAACTATTACTTGACTCAGATGCACCTTAGTATTTAAACTGACACCATTGCTCCTTAATATTTTGGAGAAGTCCTTAGCAGAAAACTTTCCTAATGCAACACATCTTTTGATTTCTTGACTGCTGGTACCAAGGATGCTGATTGTGGATCCAAGTAAGATAAAATCATTGACCATTATCTATCATGATACTACTTCTTGGCCCAGTGGAAGAGATTTTTATTTCTGTCTTCTCAATTTTGACGCTAGGGAGTTTAAATTGCTGGTTTTGGCTGGCAGCAAAGCCTTTAATCTTTGTCCCACAAGGGATCCTTACATACAACAGAATATATACCAATTCAACAATTTCTGCATGTACAACTCACTGATATTGATTACATTCTTCAAGTCGCCCAGCTATTTTCACTTTCCTTTTCTGAATTATTCTTCCTTATTAACAAAAACTCATTGACCCTAAATTCCTGTCTGGTGTCTAAAGTTGCTGATGTATCACTGATTCTTAATCTTGACATATCAAGGTTGAATTTGGTACATGAGGGGTCTTTGGTAGGACTTCAGAATGGCATACAGATCTGGAGGATGTGCATTTTCTCTAGGGGAAGGAAACAGCACTTCCATCAGGTTTTCAAAGGGATCGGTGTCTTAAATGAGATTTTAAATTACAATCGTCTAGGTCAGCCCTCAGCTCTGCCTCTTCTGCAGAAGCCAGGGGAACTCAAGAGTGCTGGTTCTGAGCCAAAGATCTTTGAGGGGTGGGGGTATGTATGGCTATTGACTACATTTTGCTTGTTTTCTCCCAAACCATGGAACACACCTCCCAGCACACTGATGCGAGCCCCTTTCTCAGCAACAGGCTGAGAATGAAACAGTGCATATAGTGACAGAACTCAGAGTGCTGAACAGGAAGGTTCCAGAAACTTCTTGACCTCAGCCAACATGTCAAAGCTGAGATTTTGGATGACTCAAAACAGTTCCCACCAAGCAGAGCTCTGTCTCATGGGAGACAGAGGGAGCAGGCGAGCCAGCAAGTGCTCAGTTAAATGTCATCTTAATTTGGAAAGCACAGAGGGACTTTTTTTTTAATATCAATAGTCAGCCATTCCTTAGTACCAAGAGTGTAATGCAGTACTCACTCTGAGCCTGGGGGCAGCTTGGAAATTGACAGGCAGTCTCCTTGCCTGTCACCCAGCGTCAGCTTGGCAGCTCACTGACCCCACTTCTCTGGATGGAACAAGAATGAGATGGCAACCACTACCCTTGAGACTCTGGAGAGAATCAGATCTCAAAATGAAGACAGGTAATGTGGGTAGATTTAGCACAGGTCCAGCCTGACAGTGTGCATTCTAGCCCACACTAGGTGACAAGGGCTCTGATGGTGTGGCCCACAGGGAGCCAGTGCTGCTAAACCAAAGGCCACGCCTCTCCTGTGGTCCAAATGCACCCACAGAACTGCCAGAGGAAGATGAGCCATCTCCTTTCTGATTTATGGCCTCAGAGACACACACCCTGCCTGAAGGGTCAGCTATGAGGCAGTTCCAATCTGATGGCAATTGAGTTTCTGCTGATAACAAGAATCAATCACAGCTTAATGAGCAGGGAAAGGAATGATCAGAAAACATTCATGCAATAAATATTTTGTATTTCTTGAACACTTAAGTGCCAGATGTAGCTAGGAACAGTGTGGGGAAGGAGGAGGAGCGTATTATACAGAATCATTCACTAATTTAACAATTATTTGAAGCACCTACTATGTGCTCATTAGACCCAGTACCACAAGTTTGATGGAGAGGTAGAAAGATGCATTACCTCACACACTTAGTCACTGAATAACTATATAGGCTGAACACCAACTACCATGAGTGAACACTCAGTAGTATGTATGTGTGTATATATATAAATATATATTTATGTATAAATATATATGTAAATATATATTTATGTATAAAAATATATATATTTCGATAGATAGATAGCTAGATAGATAGATAGAGTGTATGTATTTATATCTGGTGACCTAGTGGTAAGAAGCTGTGCTGTAATCCTGAAGGTGCATGGAGAAGACATTGGTTTGAATCCACGAGCTTCTCCACAGGAGAAAGATGGGTCTTCTTCTTCTGTGCAATTTAATTGCCTTTGAAAAACCACTGGAGGGTCAGCTATGGTCAGTTCTGACTCGAAGGTACATAACAATAACAATAACAATAACAATATATACTCATAAATGTTTAGGGGGGGCTATAAAGGCCTAGTGGTAAGAAGTGGTGCTGCAATCCCAGAGGCACGCAGTTCAAATCCACCAGCTGCTCTCTGAGAGAAGGATGGGCATTCTCCGCCTGTGTGGTTAAACTGCACCTGAAAACCAACTGGAGTGTCAGTTATGAGTCGGTTCGGACTCAACAGCACACAACAACAATAATACGTGTTTTATTCATTATAATGAATCAATCAGTTGTATTTTCACCCTAATGTCTGGAATCCCTGACAGTGTCCCCAGATAAGGAATGGAGGCGCCCTTTACAAACTCATCAGACCCTGGATCATGGGTTGCTGAGTATCCCGGCCAAGCTGGACCTGCTGACAGGGAGTCACTCCCTTCCCTTCCCTCACATTTCCTCTCCGGGTGCTGACTGATGAAGAACAGTCATTAATAACTGAATTTTAATGGCAGCCGCACAGCCATTCCCAGTCTGCTGATGAAACCTATCCCCTGGGGCAGTATCCAGACCGCAGTGACTGAACAGCCAAGGATTTTTGGTCCCTTGACAACATCTCTCATAACTTCCATCCTTCCCTTTTAAATGAGAAAAGGCCCTTTAAAAGCCCTTCCTTTGAAAATTGGAGAGTTTAACAATATCTCACCCCTTCCTTTAGCACTCCAAATTAAATCACTGTTTAACTTGCAGCAAGGAGAGCTGTACCTAGCTGTCCCCACCGCACCCCTGGTGCCCACACTCTTTCTGAACTACTCCTTGGTTCCCAGGTATGGTCAGGAGGAAGCTATAATCATAGAAGCCAAAATGACATGAGGGGAAAGAGGCTGATGAATGGGACTACTCCCCAAGGAGGGCAGGTGGCCCCCTCAAGCATGCTCTGTAAGCTTCATAAGCGACCTGCAGTGGAATGGGCCTGCTTGGCTTAGCAAGGAAGACATTGGGTTAACCAACTTCTTTACCTTAGGACTTCTTGGAACCTTGAATATGCTGATGTGCTCTGTGAATCTATAAAAAGGGGATGTCTAGTGCAGCGTTTCCCAAACTTATTTGACCACAGAAGCCTTATTTCCCCCGCCCCACCCCCCAGCAGGATTAGTGCACTGCACAGCTTTAAAATTCTGAGCTTTAACCAATGTGTACTGAGCATGGGCCACTGGGCTAAGTAGGCACACTAAGACACAAGACAGAGTCCCCAGTCTCAAGGAGCAGGCATGTGCAAGTCTGTTGGGGGGCAGGCCAGTGTGCAAGGTGGACATGGGTGAGCAGGTAGGAGGGCTGCTGGGGCCAGAGGACTCTCAGAGTATCAGCAGCATCAGCATTAGCTAGAGCTGGGGAGGAGGGGAATTCAGGATACTTCTCCCTCCTCCACACACATTTTTCTCATTCTGAGTTGGAAGGACCCTCCCATTTGAATAGTCACCAGTGGGTCTGGCCCTCTGATCACCCACCCCCACTCTCAATCACATCTATGCTATTGAACCTGGGCTAACATCCAGAAACCAGGGAACAGCTATTCGCAAATTCAGTAATTGGAGTCATTAGCGTTGACTCAGAAATCATTTTTCTCTAAGTCTCTCTCTTGGAGAAGCTTTTAAGACCCTTTAAATTGGTTAATGGAGAGTTTAGAGATGAGGATGGAGCCTCGGCTTTCAGCTCCCCCTGCCCATCACCCTGGCTCTCCCCAACACACTCAAGGGCAACAGTGATGAGATAATCCAATAACTGTTTTATTAAACACTTACACATTTCTGGTACACTCTTCCCAAAGGAGGACCTCAAAATCTACACTCTCCTACCCCAAGGCCCCAGGTGCTCCACCTCCTCTTATTCCCTCACGTTGGTAGAACAGTAATAATGCTTTCATATGAAATTACAATGTAAGCCAGTAGGAAAGAGCCCTGGGCCACAAGTCAGGAAGCCCAGGTTCTCATCCTGCCCTCCCATCTCAGAAAATTGTGTAACCTTGGGCTTCACTCTGCCTTCCTCGGTGAGGTAAGCACCAGACAAGATCCCCTCTACAGGTAGTGAAACGCTGTAAAGGTTTCATTTAACATCCACATCAGCCCAGTAAGGTCGGAGGACAAACACTGTTGCCCTTGCACTAAGGAAAACAATGCAGCAGGTTACTCAAGGGGAGGTGCCCGGCAAGTGGCAGGAGCAGGACTCGCGCCTGTGCCTTCATACACTTTCCTCTTCTCTGCTGTGCCAAGGCCGCTGTTCAATGTTCTTGGGGAGGTGGGTGAGTAACTGTCCTGTTCTGTAGGATCCAAGGTTGTGCCAACTCTGTGTACACACAGGCTCCATCTTCAGGGTTGAAGTACAAAGGTCCCCAAAATCCAAGCATACACATCTAAGCATTTAGATAGGAAAGTCCCTCCTTCCAAATCAATGGAGGAATGAAAATGATCATGAACCCACTGAGAATAAACAAAGGTAAATGTGGGAGACGGCCTTGGGGGTGATTTTACTCAGTGTTTGCTTGATACTGGTCATTCCTGGAACAACCCTCATGCTGCAACTCCCAAAGGCACTCAGTTCAAATCCACCAGCTGCTCCACAGCACAAAAAAATAGGCCATCTCCTCCTGTGCGATTAACTGCCTCTGAAACTTGTCGGAAGGTCAGCTATGGGTCAGTTCCGACTCAATGGCACACAACAACAAATACACCAACACAAAAATATAATAGCTTAGTGAACACAATTGAAGAACGCAGTCTAAATGCAAAGTAACTGAGGCATGGTGAGGGGGAAGGCAAATTATTTGCTCAAAGACAAAGGCTAAAGTAAGAGTCCGACAAAGAAAAGCCTCCAGTAGAATTGATTGCTCAGAGGTGACTGAACGGATCCTTTCTGTGAAAAGACCAGAAGTGACGTGAAACATCCATTGGTCATCTGTGAGGCCACCAACTGGAAGGACAAGTCAAAGTCATTTATCAGCCATATTAGTTCTTGAAATTGCATGGCACCCTAAGCCCTCAGTCAAATTACCACCCTAGACAGGGATCTTGATATCCTATTTTTTATGCCATCCAACCTCCTGGCTGCCCTCGTCCTGAGAAGTATCAAGAGCTGTCTTTGCATTGGCAGCACAATGAAATACTATGCTGCATTGAAAAACAAGGAACTCATGCAATATTATTCAAAATGGTTGACTCTGGAGAACATTATGCTGAGTGAAATATCCCAGTCACAAGGACAAATATTACATGATGCCACTGTTGTAGAATGGGACTAACCTCGGGGTTGGGGAGAGACTGAGTAAGATGGGTTCAATAATGTATACTGCACTGAAACAGAGGAGGGAGAAAACTGTTTAAAAGAGATATGTGACTAGGTATTTCTGTCATGACAGGAGTCTAGAGTGATGGCTACATGGTGGAGGGGACCTGGGGGAGGGTTTGTAAAACAATGAAAGAATCTTTTCTTTTACTTTTCCATAATTTTTGACTCATGCACTTTTAACTTGTTAGTTAAATTTGTGTCTTCTAGGTTGCAACACCTCCATGATACATCTTCAAGGATATGAACATGTACAGCTAAGCACAATTAATAACAGTGCATCTAAATTCCAAAATCAATCTCCATAATAGTCGATGTGTTTCCTACTGCTAAAGGGGCCCTTTAGAGTAGTGAGAGAAGATCGTCACCCTGAAACCCACAGCATCCCTTTTCAGCAGGAAGTAGCTAAGAGAATACGCCATCCCCTTTTCCTTATGAATCAGGGTGAAGTCTCTCTCAGGGAGGAGTGATAGGGAATGGCAAAGGACACACTGACAAAGGAGATTAATCAGAACTGACTTTGACAAGCACTGTGGCAATTGGACAATTAAAACAGATATTCAGAGGGCGGGGGAAGAAGAACAAACTGGGGAGGAGGGTAGAGAGAACGGTGCAGCAATGAAGGAATGAAAACCCAAAATCCCTGTAAATGTTCATTAAAACTAATAAAATTTAATAATAATAATAAAAAGAACTGTCTTTGCTCTCACCTTAGCCAAAACCCAGTCTGACTAGACTCCTTTCCAAGAGATGAGAGTGTGGCGGGATGACATTGCTGCTGCTGGCCCCAGGGTGAGGTCCAAGATGCCCGCTTCTGCAGCAGAGTCCAACGTTCCCTGTGCTCCAGGCATGTGGAAGGTGAGAGGCCCCTGCCAGCAGGGTGTTGAGGCTGCAGAGGGAGGGGCTGGAGAAGGACTTCAATCCTGTAATTGCCAGGTCACTGGGCGCAAGGGCTACAAAGAAGGCAAAGCAGCTCTTATAAACACTGTCTTTAGACTTCCACCAGGCTTTTAAAAGAACTTGGCTTCCCCTGGCATTGTTAACCTAGCCCATCCTAAAGAGTCATGAGTCAAGAGTTCACAGAGCCCTAGATGGATTATTCAGGGCACTGAGGAAGCCTCGGGACATTATCCCTCTAACAAAGTCATCAGAGCAGCTGCCACTTACTCAGCACCTACTGTGTGCTGGCCTGCACTTTACCTCATTTAATCCTTGTGACAACCCAATGAGTCAGTTTTTGAGGTGAAGAGACTGAGGTCCAAGGTAATATAGTCAAAGTCCAGTGATAGTGAATGGGTTAAAATTCAGGTCATCTTGACTCCTAAAGCTATGCTTTCAACCACCAGTGTGAGCTGGGACCCCAGGGACCCCTCCTCTGATATAGAGTGCCCAGCTCAGGGGAGGCACTCTGCTGTGTCTGACTCTGTGGATACCTGTTGTCTCCATGGAGAAGAGGGTCTGCAGCCTCTCCTGGGCTGGCTTGTTTCCCAGAGCTGCTGACTGCTGGTAACACCGTATGGCCTCACCCAGATTTCGCTGCACACCAAGTCCCTTCTCATAGCAAATTCCTAGGTGGTACCTGCTCTGTGAATCCTAAGGAGAAAACAGACACACGGGTATATAGGACTGAGGAACTGAAATGCTAAAGTGGAGAATCAGGCATACTGGGGCTTCATCCGGAGAGGTTAAGACAAGTTCTGGCCCTCTCGCAAACCAAGTACTACGAACATTCAGAGGTCTACAGTATGCCCAACACAAAACAGACAGAAATCCCTCTATTCACAGACACTCCCAACCAAGCAGTGATGCAGCATCTCTCCTGGAAGCCAGTGATGAAAGGATGCATAAGCCAAGGCTGCGGAGAGCACTCAGCCCAGCAAGGGGGAACCTGGGGGCCAGGCTCCCACACTACCCCGGAAGAACAAGGAGGCAAGGGTGGGCAGGAGGCTTCCAGAAAGACCCATATGCCTTCTTGAAACTCTGCCTAGAGAACTAAAAGGAATAAATTACAGAAAAAGTGCCAAAAGAACAAACAGATATATCTTGGAGAAAGTGCAGCCAGAGTGCTCCTTAGAGGAAAGGATGATGATGCTTCGTCTCACGTACTTTGGACATCTTGTGAAGAGAGTCTATTCCTTGCAAAGGGAAGGTAGAGGGTCAGCAAAGGAGAGGAAAACCCTCACCCAGGTGGATTGACACAGTGACTGCAATAATGGGCTCGAGTGTGTCAGAGATTGTGAGGATGGCACAGGATGGGACAGGGTTCAGATCAATTGTTCAGAGGGTCACAATGAGTTGTACTCAACTCGACAGCACTTAACAACAACAACAATTCCTTTAAAAGACTAAACCCTTCACCCATGGTCTGAATTGGTGAGTACTGAGGAGCAGTGTTAGGTAGGAATTAGGTGCCCATGTGTAAAGCAAGTCTATCTGGATTGCATGGGGAGCTCTGGTGGCCTAGTGGTAAGAAAATTTGCTGCAATCACAAAGCAATTCGAATCCACTAGCTACTCTGTGGGAGATGGATGGATACTCTCCTCCCAAGTGATTTACTACCTGTGAAAACCTGCTGGAGGGTCAGTGATGGGTAGGTTCAAGCTCGATGGCACAACATCTAGATTATAATCTTAGCTGCGCCACTTCTTGACTGTGTAACCCCAGGTGTGTTACTTTGCATCTCGGTGCCTCGTTTTGTTCATCTAATAGCATTCACCTTGCTGGCTTGCTGCAAGAATCAAACATGTTAATATACAAGAAGTGCTCAGATTAGTACCTGGTACCGAGTGAGGGTTCCATCATTTCATCTCCTTTGTTGCCTAAGGAGGCTTGGTGGCATAGTATCTCAAGTTGTGATGCTAACTGAAGGTTCAGGGGTTTGAGTCCAGCTGGTCCTTGGGAGAATGATAGGCCATCTCCCTTCCTGAGGAGTCACAGCTTCAGAAAGCCGATGCAGGGTAGTTGTGAGATGGAGATGGCGAGTGGGCAGCAAGCTGGGTTTTGGACTGAGTTGTCTAAATCATTCATCTCTCCCTCTCTATGGCACACTCAATTTCTCATCTTAAAAAAAAGAAACAAAAAAAAAACCCCAACCAAACAAAGAACCAAAAACCCCTCTGTTGACTCTCACTTGTAGTTCCATCTCTCTATCCTCTACAGTCAAGTTTCTTGAAAGAGATGTCTATAGGTTTTGCCCTCACTTCCGTAAGACGGGCCAAAGTCTATGCATTAGCCAGGGTGAACTCTCAGGTTCAGATTGGGTCAGAAAATAGAAATGCATATGCATAAGGGCCAGACTCACATCCCATGCTCAGTACATGCCGAAGAAGACAACTCAGCGTGGGGTGAACAAACATGAGTTTTGTGCTCCAAAACAGTAATGCATAAAGGCTAGCACCCACACTTCTGTGTACTTCACCTGCCATCCTGGACATGCCCCCACTAGGCCCAAGGCTGGCATATAGAGCTCTTGCAGAGGAAGGGAAAGTTGATGAAGCCAGTCCTCTTTTGACAGCTACTATAGACACTATAGCAGCAGGATAGGACAAGGTTCAGATTTGTTCGTAGGGTCATTAATGAATCATGATGACTAGACAGCACCCAACAACAATAGACACCACAGGGAGCTCTGGTGGAGTCCTCTGTAGGTGCACCTGTTAACCCAAAGGTGGAACGTCTAAGGCAGTTCGAATCCACTAGCAGCTCCAAGGGAGAAAGATGGGCATTCTCCTGCTCTGCAGTGTATAGCCTCCAAAAACCTGCCGGAGGGTGTTAGGATTCTGTTCCAATTAAAAAATAATGAGTTTGAATTTGATAGACACTATAGATACTCTAGCAGCCCTGATACTAGTGTTGTTATATTGTCATTATAAACTGTTGAGTCAGAGCTGACCCTCTAGTGGGTTTTCAGAGGCAGCAAATTACACAGAAGGGGACTGCCCATCTTTCTCTCATGGAGCAGCTGGTGGATTTGAATCACATGTCTTCAGGTTGGCAGTGCAGTTCCTTACCACTAGGCAACCAGAGCTCCCTCCTCATAGTGTAGTGCATCACATATCAAGCTACTACGTGAAAGATCAGTGGTTCAAATCTACCAGTCACTTTGTGGGAGAAAGATGGGCAGTCTCCACCCGTAAAGATCTACTACCACAGAAACCCAGTGGAGGATCACTATAAGTTAGAACTGACTTCATGCCGGTGGGTTTAGGATCAGTTCACGGACACTTTGGGGGACCCAGGATGTCCAAAAACTGAGGGAAGCTGTCAGTATGGGGGCCAGAAACAAAAATGCAGAAACTCTTCATCCAAATTACAGCATAAACACATTGCTTACGTCAACCCAGGACTTTTGGTCCTTCTAGATGTAGTTCCACACAAATGTAAGTCCAACATATTTGGGAAATGCACACAGCAAACCATTCTCAGTGTTTCACACGGACATGGTTTCCTGAAGCACAGAAACCTTTAGAATGCTGTATAACCCACTATTTCCCCAGTCCAACTGGTCTTTTCCCTTTTTGTATTGTTTACAAATATTCCATGGCACTAATGCTTTGAGGAAACTTTAGGTCCTGCTGCCTGAATGCCAGGTCCCTAGTTCACAGATTGAATTGTGACTGAAGTGTTTCCCCAAAACCAAATGCATGTGATGGTATCATGTAGAAGCTCTAGAATGATCTCCCATATCTGATAAACCAGAGAGTTGTAAGAGTATTATGGGATGAATGCAACACCCTAAATCCTGGCATAGCTCTATCTGATGTGAGGGGGCTGCGCCTAGTGTGTAGTCTGTGCTAGAGATAAAAGATAGATACCTTCACTAGAGATAAAAGGGGAAGAAAGTAAGCCAAGGGTGGGAGACTTCAGGACTTCAGGAAAGAACTGGCAGGAGTACAGTGTGGGTTTGGGCCTTGGCCCCCTAACAAGAAAGCTCCTTGACATCAGAAAGGCCATAACACATGAAGATCCCCCCAAGACACCAGGCCTAACAGTTGCAAAAGGAAAAAAGGATTTTCTTCCACAACCAACAGAGAAATCTTCCCCTAGAACTAGCAGCTTGAATTTGGACTTCTAGCCTCCTAAATTGTAAGAGAAAACCTTTCTGTTTGTTCAATCTACTCTGGTATCTCGATGGTAGCAGCCCTAAGACAACTAATATACTCTGTGTCTTCACCTCCTGTGTCTCTGACATCCCTGGACTTTGCTTCTTAGAATGACACAGATTTCATATGTATGTTTAAAAGCCCACTGCCACTGAGTTGATTCTATAAGGTTTCTGAGCCTATAAATAATAAGAGGAGAATGCCTCTCTTTCTTCCTCTGAGTGGCTGGTGGATTCTAACCACTGGAGACTAGTAGTCTTTTGGTTAACAGTGCAACACTAACTGTGCCACCAAAGCTCCTTTTCATATGTTGTTGTTGTTATGTGCCATTGAGTTGCTTGCAATTCATAGAGACCCTATGTACAACAGCCATAAACCCTGCCCTATCCTGTGCCAATTGCACTGCCTCTGACACACCCATCCCGATTACCCCAGTCATTGAATCAATCCACCTCTTAGAGGGTCTTGCCCTCCTGCGCTGTCCCTCCACCCTCCCAAGCATGATGTCCCTCTCCAAGGACCCGTCTCTCCTTACAACATGTCCAAAGTATGTCAGATGAAGCCCCAGAATCCTTGCCTCCAAGGAGCAGCCTGGTTTAACCCTCTCCAGAATGAATCTGTTTACTTGGCAGTCCACGTACATTCAACACTCTTCTCCAGCACCACAGCTCAAAGGCATCAATTCTTCTTTTATCCTCCCTAGTCATTTGTACATAGGGTTTTCAGAGGCCTGCTATTTCAGAAGTGGATGGCCAATCCTTCTTCCTAGTCTGTCTTAAACTGAATGTTCAGATTTAGAAGAGTATCCGACAGACAAGCAATTTATAGAACAGTGAAAGATAAATCCCTCATTGTGGAGTTAACCATTAGTTACAGTGTTGTCCCTGCCCTTGGCCCAGTGTCTTGACCCACTTATTTCCCAGCTCCACCCTCCACCAGGATACCCCGTCACTTCTACTGAATCCCTTCAGCATTTATCTTCCATTGTCCAACCCTTGATCTGACAGCTTGTATCTGAAGCTTTCTTGGCTTCTGTGATTCCAAACACATCAGCTGTTGAAATTTCTTTTCATATGTACGGTTTACAAAATGCTTCCGCACAATTATTTCAGTTAGATTTTCATCCTTACAATGACACTGTGATGCAGCAGACAAATAAGGCGAGCATTATCACCTTGATTCTAGAGATGAGGAAACAGGTTTAGATTAAGAAATTATCAACCTTGTACCCTGCTGGTAAATGTTTAATAGCTGGCTCCACAGGGTAAAAAGCCTTGCTTTGAAGCATTTGCCAATATCTGTGATGCAAATATCCTCACTATGACTGGTTCCAAGCTATCAACAGGTCTTACACTGGACTTGCCCAAGGCTTACTCAGGGAGCCAGTGAGACCTAAGGCCCATAGCCAGCTCCAATGCACCTAAGGGTTCAGAGGGTCTCCTAAGCATAGGAGAAATTCAACACCAGCTCCAAAGGTCCTTTACAGGTCAGACTCAACCCCCAACAAGCCTGGATACAGAGACTTCATACCCCATTATTGGCTGCAAGCCAAAGATACTTCACTGCTCTCTGCTCATCCACATATGGCTCCTTGGTGAGAAGCACCCCGAGAAAAGCCTGGGCCTGTGGTCAAGAAAGAAGGAAAAGGACATCTTCGTCACAACAGCTCCTAGACGTCCCAGCTTTCCAGGCCAGGCCCCACCAACGGCACTCACCTCTCTCAAGCCTGAGTCTGCAACCTGCTTCAGCATAACCAGCGCCCTCTGCCGCTCAGACTCCCCCAGGGAGGTGGGGTCTTGGAGCAGACACCTGGCATAGCGATAGCGAGCCAGGCTGTGGCCCTGGCCGGCAGCCAGCTGGTAATACAGGACCGCCTGGGGCAAAGGGAGAAACAGCCGGTCAATGGGTATCAAGCAGCTTTTTCCTTGGAGTGAAATTTTTAAAAATTCTTCTAATTAAATACATAATCATTAAAGACAAGTCAGAAAATATATGTAAGCCCAAATCTTAAAAAAAAAAAAATTAAAATACAGATAAGGCAAAAATAGAGACATGAAATTTCAAGAAATCTTGCCTCTAGAAGATCATTCTCTGTTAACATTTTAGTACAGAGACTTGCAAATGTATTTCCACATATATGTGTTAGAATACACACACATATATAAATGTTTGTTTATGTATCTATACACATACACACTCATAAATTGGATCACACCACACTTACTATTTTTTAACTTATTTTTACACTTAACATAATGTCTTTCCTTGCCAATAACTATAGATATAGCACATGATCTTTAAGGACTAATTAACTAATTCTCTATTGAAGGAAATTGAAGCTGCTTTCCTTCTTTTTTTTTCCTTTTGCCAATTCTAAGAAATACACTCTTATATCTTCTATACTTATTCTAGTCTTCTAGTCTCAATTCATCAAGATGTTCTTCTAGGCACTGAGGATAGACTTGCAAACAAACGACACAAGGTCCTTGCCCTCACTAAGTTTCAAGTTTCAATTCCTAGAAATTAAGAGCTTCTTTCTAACTTTGCCCCAGCAGCTAATCTAGAACCAAGTGGGAGAAAGAAGCCAGACTGGCCCTAAATCCACTGCTCATTTCTGGAGATCACCGTGGGCAGCCTGGCACAAGTGATGGACTTTAGAGCAGAGAAGGAGGGGCAGTACCTTGCTGAGGTCTCGGGGGGTGCCTCTGCCATGCTCATAGCATAAGCCCACATTGTACTGTGCTTTGTTGTAGCCACGGTCCGCAGCTTTTTGGAAGTAAGAAAAAGCTGCCAAGTAGTCCCCATTCTTCATGTTCTCTGTCCCTGTTAAAAAATAAACAAACAACAACACAGGTCATGTGGAGAGGAGAAGACCTCGATGGTACCCATCACCATTGCTGACCACTCTAAGAAGAATCAATCACAGCAAAGAGTCCTAGGCAGAGTGGGAGAAAACCATGGCACAAAATGCAAAGTCATGACAACAGCCAGGCTTGCTTGCCAACCTGACTGAGACTGGAGTAATCCCCAAGACAACAGTCCTTACTCACCCTTCAAGCCCGGAACTAAACTGTTTCTGGTGGCTTAACCTTTGGCCAAACAACAGGCAGGCCTAAAAGGTGAGCACCACCACTCAGGAGGTACTCAGTCCTTAGAACAATCAACCATAGGAGAGCAATGGGGCCAATTTTGCCCAGGGATAAAACTCAGAAAGAAGGAATGGGATAGAAAGATGAATGGAAATGACAATCACAGGGAGGAAGTGGAAGAGTACTGCTGCAGTGTGGGGACTGTAATAAATGTCAGAAAGCACAGTGTGTAGAAATGGTTGAAGAGAAAAACAATTTGCTATGTAAGCTTTCACTCAAATCACAGGAAAAAGTTTTGTAAAGATAAAAAAGACATAAAAGAGAGAGAGATAGCAAGAACATACACTTTCAGCTTAAACACTTCAGCTTCAAACATTTCCTCTGCAAATGTCCCCAGATGCTCTGCCAATATCCAAAGGCTACTCATCAGACCCCGGGCTCCTTCCATTCTTGTGTGTGTTTACCACTTTACCGGTATCTCTATTTTCTAAATACTTACTGGTGGACCACAGACATCAGTGAGTTCTGCCCTCTTATAATCCGTTCCTCTACCTCTTAGTAATAGAATCCAAAATTTCCTTTGGGAATGACCTTTCCCTAGTGCTGTCAATCAAGGTGCCACATTCATCTGGACCAATAAGACTCTCTTCTCACAGGAATGTGAATCTTGCTTGGCCAAGAACAGAAAATAGTTTTTGTAAAAGAGATTCTTATATTCCTTAAGTTAGTCAAGAGTCAGTTAAGATTCTTGCAACCAATAAACCCTAACTGATACAAGTAATGCAGTTAATCTTGTTTTCCAAGAAAACAGAGAAAGGGTATCTAAGAACACTGAGACTTGAACTCAGGTATGTCCAGCTCCAAAGCCCATGTTCTTATTGTTGCCCAAACAGGAAAGATGCAGGGCACAGCCTATTATTCTCTAAGCCTCTGCTCAAGCAGTTGCTCCAGCCAAGGGTATCTATGTATGCTTCTGCCATCAGACCTTCACATCCTATCCTATCTGCCTGAGAACTTTCAGACCACACTCAGGCTTTTAAATGGGTTTTTGGGTTTTTTTTTTTTTACTTAATATACCAACCCTTTTTCTATGAGCTAAACTGTTTCAAGAGTACAAGCTTGTCTCTTCAATTAGGCTGTAAAATCCTAGAGGCAGAAGCAGAAGAAGAATGTAGAAAAAAATAACTTTGCATAGCGTGAAAGCTCTATACAAATGCAAAATATGATTATGGCTTATGCTCTCTTTGTATTCTGCCACAGTGCCTAGCACTTGCTGAATAAATGAATATATGAATGAAGGAATGGGCAAGAAAATTCTCAGAAGGGACTGTATGCCCATCACGATCAGGAAAAGTTAATGAGGTAGAAGCCAGGTTCAATTCAGCCAGCAGTAAATTAAAGTTACCTCCCTGCTGATGGAAAGCTTGCTATCCAGGGTTGACAGAGTTCTCTGTCCCGGGGGAGAAGATTCAAAAGGGCACAGGATCCCACCCTGTTCCCCACCCCCACATTAGTTCCACCAATAAACCCTGATCCACTCACTCTTCCAGGTTTCCTGAGCCTCTGAAACCAAGCCACCACTGCATTTCACTTTGTCATCAGTTCCTACCTACTCTCTCTGTGCTCCCTCTGGCATCGCTACAATCCGCATCTGTTCATAGAGCAGCCAGAGCGAGCTTGGGGGAAAAAATCAAATTAGATCACTTGACTAGCCTCTCTGCTCCGGCTTAAGATCCCCCAATGGTTCTTGTCTCATTCAGAAAATCTATACCCTTTCCTTGGTTCAAAGGCCTCTCCAGACCTGGCCCCTGCCTACTTCTCTTATCTCCGTCCAATTTCCTTGTGAGCAATAAGCTCCACATTCACCTTCCTTTTTTACTTTTAACAAACAAAACACAAGCCTTGCCTCCAGACCTTTGTCCTTGCTACTCTCTGTTCCTTCTCTGATGGTCATCAAGACCGGCTCCATTTTGTCAGCCAGGCTCACGATCTTGCCTTCAGTCAGGCAAATCAAAAGTGGTTCCACTGCTCAAGTCACTATTACTATTTTATTTTCTCTGTATCATTTACCATCGTCTGAAATATTTCATTTGCCAATTTATTGGGTTTTTCTCTCATTCAACTCAAATGTCAGTTCCTTGAGAGCTAAGATTGTCAACTGAGTGACCTCATCTCAGCACCAACCTGTTTTGAATGAATCTCAACTTCTTACCTGCTCACTAAACTCTACTAGATGTTTTTAGAAATCTGGGTCGGGTCTCCACATTAAAAGACTTGAAACGAGAGGTACGCAGTTCAAATCTACCAGATGCTCTACTGGAGAAGGAGGAACAATCTCCTCCTGTACCAGTCAGATCTGATTTGACGGTACACACACAAATAATAAAAAATAAATTTAAAAAAATAAAAAAGACTTGAAACTTGCTGCAGAGGGTAGAGTAAACATGAGGAAGGGTATGTGGAATCTGGAGATGTGGGTTATACTGTTTGTAGTTGAGTTGCTTTTGACTCAGTGATCCCGCGTCAATTGCCAGGTCTTTTTCTCAAGAAAAGGCTCAGTGGGTTTGAACTACCAATTCTTTGGTTAACAGCCAAGCACTTAACCATTGTGCCACCAGAACACTTTCCAGGTATAGGTAAGAGGTCCTTTGACCTCTTTGAGCACTTACAGGCATACTTCAAATCTCAGCAGCTCATTCTTTCTTTAGTGAGTCAGAGAATGCGAAATGTCCTCCAAAATCTACACACCCTTCTTACATAATAACACAATGGCCTAATGGCAAGATGCTGCACTACAATCCCAAAGGCATGCAGTTCAAATCCACCAGCTGCTCCATGGGAGAAGGATGGGCAATCTCCAGTGCATTTAACTGCCACTGAAGGTTCAGATATAGGTTGGTTCCAATTCGACAGTACACAATAATAACAATGTATGGTCAATTAGAGAAAGAAAAACCAAGTTTCTCCTTGGAGCCTAGGATTTTGAAGCTCCGTCTCACATACTTGGGCGCGTGGCCAGGAGGGACTGGTGCTTGGAGAAGGACATCATGCTCTGAAGGGTGGAGGGACAGCGCAGGAGAGGAAGACCCCGGATGAGATGGATTGATGCAGTAATAGGGCAATGGGGGTAGGTGTGAGACTGGATATGACTGGGCAGGCTTCAGAGCTATTGTACAGTCATGACTCAATGACACACATAACAACAACAACATGGTCAATTAGCTAATAATGGCATTTCCCTGCTTCCTCTGCAACTGGATGTGGCCATGTGCCTACATTCCAGATGCTGATTTGAGCAACTTCTAGGTCATGCTTAAAGGCATGGTCTTTTCGTTTTCCTACCTTCTTCCCCGCTCCCCCCTCCCCCGCCAACTCACTAGAATATGGATAGGAGGGCAGAAACTAGAATAGCCAAACTGGACCTTGAGATGAGCAAGTTTTAGAAATGGCCAAACAAGTATGAAAAAACAATGGGTCTGACCCTTCCTAGTCGCCATGTCAGATGCATTCTACTTACCAGGGAGAAAATAGAAACTCTTGATTAAATCACTGCCGCCTCTATGTGACCCACCCTGTACTCTTCCCATTTCCCCACCTTTGAGGGAGGGTCCACTCAGTTACCTAGGAAGTTGAAAGCGATGGAAACACTGAGCTGGAAGAGCTGCTGAATGGAAGTCACTGCCTCCTCAAGGGAAAGAGTTTTTGACTTATCTTGTTCCTGAGGAAAAACACGAAGACTTATTAGAAGATGGTTCCCAGGGGAATTTTACAGCCATCTAAGTAAAAACTGGGCTGTACCTGCTTGTCCCCAGTTGTCAGAGGCTGATCTTGCCTTGCTTTAGGCTCAAAGCTACTGGTGGCATGGCGGAAGCCAGTATTACTGTGATCTGCAAGAACAGCTGACAGCCAGAACAAAGCACAAAAGTGTTAGTCTCCTTTTTCTCTCCTACTCCCTCAGGCTACCCATTCCCTCCATCATCCCTTTTGCCAGGAACAAGTATGAAAGGCAACTGAGTCATCCTGTCTGACTACTACTCAGCTGGAAGAAAATACAAACTTAGTTTTAATCACTCTTCACTCTGTTGGTCCCAGAATAACTCAAAATAACTAAATGGCCTCAGAAAGTATGGGACTTCATAGGAGTGGTAGGTTCTTTATCTAGGAGTATGTGGCTACTAATATTCATTTGCCCAATTCTTTCTCCCCTGCTAATTCTAAGTAGAAACTTACCTTCCTCAGGGTCCTGAACACCAGCTATCCTCAAGGAACCATGTGAAGAAAGTTGCCCCGCCTGAGCTGAGGGCCCTTCCTGGCCCAGCCTGGCTTCTCTCAGGCCAGTGTGCCTGGGGACAGGGCTCTCAATGGGGAGAATGTGCCTCCGCAGAGCTGGAAAGAGCCAGCAAGCATGATCAGGTGCAAAGTGGTAGAGGGTTGTTTAGTTTTCACTGGCTTAACTGAGTCCTCTCTGATCTTTAGAAACCTCTCTTCCACACTTCTCTTTCTGAAGGCTCCTTTACTGGCTTCCATTTCTAGAAGCCACTTTTGGACTAATCTCTCACCCTAAACACAGACTCATTCACTTGCTCCTCTGCTTAAATTCTAGTGGCAAGGAGTGATATGCTATTTACCTCATTGTGATATTGCTGTGGCCTCGGCATCAAGCACTTTGTGTGATGGTAATATGAATAATCATACTCACTAAGTAGTAACCATGTGTCTGACACTACTTTAAATCCTTGACATTTATTAACTCATTTAGTCCTCCCAAGAACCCCATGAAGTGGGTCCTATTAACAGTGCATTTTATAGATGAGCTTCATGACTTTACCAGGAACATAAGTCTCATGTTGCAGCTTTGGGCTCGAACCCTGGCAATCTTTAACTACTAGACTAAATATCACCTCTGTACCAAAGCCCGTAGTAGGTACTTAATAAAACACTCATATATTAATGACTGCCTGAGTAGAAAATGACTTAAATGGCTAAGAGGCTGGCAGACAGAGTAGTGAATCTCATGGGGCTTCCTCATGGGTGGTGATGGGAAGAGGGAAGGACACTAGGCGAAGGCGCGGCCCACACCCTGGGTGGACAGAACTTCCTCATGCTTCCCCTCCCCTGACTTCAGATAGGAAAGGCAAGGAGCTGCTGAGGTCTCTTTTCCTGAGGTGTGTCCAGAGATAATTCCTGGCCAAGGGAAACTTCCCACCCAGCCCTCCTGCCCCAAGACTGAGAACTCACTGAAATGCCACCAGGAAGACGAGAGGAACCGATGCAGGGGCCTGCGCCAAGAGCAGGGCTCCACATGCAGAGGTGCTCCTGGCAGAGAGGCTTGGAAGTGGATCTGCCTTGCCAGCTGTAGGGCCAGCACAGCCAGAGTGCCCTGGGGAAGAGACTGTATCAGTGCAACCCTTGGTGGGCAGCTCCCTCAGACTTAATCTTTGACTCTCACCTCAAACATTGCTTTCTCAGGAAGATTTTCCTGACTTCAGGTTGGGACAACTCCCCTATGGCATACTCTCATAGCATTGGAACTTAGTGTCTGGTGCCTGATGACACTAGTACTTAAATAATCACGTATACAATTATTCATCCAGGATCTGTGTCTCTGTGCCTCCTATTGGTCTAAGAATCACAAGGGCAGGATCTATGTCTATTTTGCTCACCAGTATATCCTGTTACCTAGTAGAGAGTCGGGAACTCTGGTGGCCTAGTGCTAAGTAGGCACATGGTTCAAATTCACCAGCTTCTCTGTGGGAATAAGATGGGCAATCTCCTCCTGTGCAATTTCCTGCCTCTGAAAACCTGTTTGTTGCAGGGTCAACTATGAGTCAGTCCCAACTTGATGGCCTACAACAACAATAATAGAGATTTAAGATTATCTTTGCTATTAGATGCTATCAAGTCAGTTTGTGACTCACAGCAAACCATGTGACAGAGGTGAACTTCCCCGCAGGGTTTCCTAAGCTCTGATCTTTACAGAGGCAGATCACCAGGACTTCTTCTCCCAGAGCTGCTGAGTGGGTATGAACCACCGACCTACCTCAGTTAGCAGTAGAGCACTTAACTGTTAAACTATTCAGACTCCTGCTAAGATAAAGGGCTTAATAAAAACATCGCCAGTAAATTCATAAGGTAACTGAGTGAACAGTCTAGATAGAATAAGCTTGGGTTCAGCCACAAATGCAGCAAGGAGGCAGACTTCTTCACTAGACTTAATTTTTTTCCCCTCCAATTTGGCTGCCCTCTACCAAGGCAACTTGCCATGCACACATTGACCAGTGCATGCTTGCTAACATGGAAGGCGTCTCTTCTCTGACAGGTCAGCAAAAGGCCTAGTGACTGCCTCTCCCTGTGGGTGCCAAACACTTATTACAACATGCAATATGCACAATGGCAAACAAGGCAAGTTAGTCTGCTCTTATGGAGTTTATGGGCAGAAAGACAAATGTCAAGCATACAGAAAATAAATACAATGATTACAAAGTACACCAAATTCCAAAGAGACAAATCAGGGGTTTTCCTTGAGCATAAACAGAAGGCCTTACAAGATATAGTGTCAGGGAATCTCTCTATGGGGACAATATGTGGACTGGGCCAGAAGGAGGAAAACCCTTAAGTAGAGCAGGGGCAAGAGTTCAGGACACTGGGAACAGACTGTTCTGATCTTTGCATGTGGCAGTAGTGAGAGAGCTGAGGGAAGATATCAGTACCCCAGGGATCCAGGTCTAATTTCCAAAAGGACTCAGTGAGGGACTACCCTTGGGCTCAGAGATTCTCAAGCAAAATGGGAAAGCACTCCATTCTCCAAGCTATGTCCTGTGATCTGGTAGCTCTCGTTTCTAGGTTTTATTTCCAAACAAGATCATTCTTGTCTACACTGAAAGTGAAGGACCAGGCTGAAGAAGTCTTACCCATGATAAGGCATCCCACAGGGTTTTATGGGAGACAGGAGAAGACAGCCACTGGAAGGCATCCTTCCATCCATGGGTCCTTGAGCCCCTGCTTGTGCTTGGGCCTGTGCCATGGGGGCTGGAGCTAAAAAGAGGCAATAGAGGCTATTAAACTCAGCCTGAAGCCAAGAGAGAAGGAGACAGCATGACAGTATCTCACCTATCAAGGCTGGACACAGGGACTAGCAGGTTAGAGGAGGTAGCCGGAGGCCCATCTTGTGGGTTTGTGGACCTGTTCAACTCCTGGAAGCCAGATCTTGGCAGACGGTGAAAAGCTGTGCAAAGAAAAGGATCAGTTTACCTCAACAAGCACAGGAGGGAGGCAAGGCAGGACCAACAATCTTTCCACATATCTCTGACACCTACACAACTCAGGGTTCTGGTTTTGTCTTTGCAGCGGTTCTTAAGGACTGCCATGCAGTTTCTCACACTAGGACCACTAGTGGGAGTCGATCCCACGCCTCAATTGGAGACTAGTTGTTGGAAGTGAAACTTTAGTCTGGTGCCTTAGATCACTCAGGCAGCGGTTCTTAAACAAGAAAATGTGTAGGAATCACCTGGAGACTCTTTGCCAAGCAGAGTCTAGGGTGCCACCCCTTCCCCAATACACAAGGATGTCTCAGGGTGGAGCATTCATATTTTTATAAAGCTCCCGAAGTGATTATGATGTTTTGCTTCTTTGTAAAAGCCACAGTTTCAAGATGACCAGACATTGATACTCAAATGTCCACTCAAAGTTTGCAGGGCTGGGTCTAACCTGACTCTCTTTCTACTGGCTCCTCCTATCCAATTTGCCTTTTAATTGGCTCCTCCTACCATCTCCTGACACTTGACCCCTCCCCCTAGCAGTGGCCCCACTCATCTTCATGGAATTAAAATCCACCTTCTTCCCACTAGCTCCACCCCCAGACCCTGTTATCTAAACCCGCCCCTCTCCAATAGGCCCACCCACATCTCAAATGCCAATAGCCTCTGAGTTCTAGGCACCACCCCTTTTAAGACTCCGCCTTTCCTTATAGTTAACTCCGCCCACTGTTGGATTAGCTCTCCCCAGGCCTACTTTCTCCTTCGGTTGAGACTGTCCGCTGCCTTAAATCTCAAGGATCTGACTTTCCTTACCTCGGCCCAGCACCCCTGGGAGGCGCCACATGTTTTCCCTGCACCATAGGGAGATGGCAGCCGAGAGGAGGCTGAGCCTAGAGGACGGCGGCTAGAGCGGCCCCTGTGGCGTCTCTGAGTGGCCGAGTCCCTAAGGAAGCTCTGCGCCAGCCAATTAGAAAGGAGCCCGAACGGAAGAACGGCGTTGAGTGAAAGGAAGTGGCGGGTGTAAGATCATGTGGGGCTCGCGGGGAGGAGGGTGCTGAAAGGACATGGGGCTGTGGGCCCAGTTTCCTGCTTAAGAGTTGGCATTAACTGCCCCTGCCCCCCAAGAATGTGGAGAGCAAACCGAAGTAGGGTGCAGACGGGCAAGTCGATGCGCCTCAGAAACAGGACCAGTGAGAAGCACGGCTAGAGCGACCTCGGAGGGGTGGGAAAGGGAAAGTTCCTCAGGTCAGAGGCTGAGGCGCTGGAGATGTGCCTATAGGGCACAGAGAAGATGCCTGCGATCGGAGCTTCTGGTGCGAGACAGTCAGCTGGGAAGTATAGACCAGTAACCTACGGATGGACGATGAAAATTACGCAGTTTATGGTTAGCAATTGCGCCATAGTGGGACCATATTAAATTACTTTCCTGATCTTAAACAGGCTGTGAAGTTTGAGTTGCTTTTGTTAAAGCACCCAGGGAGAGAATCACTCCTCTCCACACACCATGTGTTCAGGGCATGATTTTCAGACCCAGGGATATATTCTTCTTTAGGGAAGTGGATGTTTCCTCTTTAAACACTCAATCCATGAAATAAAGAGACCGTTCAAAGGATGTTTAGATTTCCTTCCTCCTATCCCTCCCAATACCCTAAATAGGCGGCTTGAAAACTCAAGACCTTACCTATGTATGAAACTTCATCTCACATATTTTGAACATGCTGTTAGGAGGGGCCAATCCTTAGAAAAAGACATGCTTGGAAAGGTGGAGGATCCGTGAACAAGATGGAGAGGACAATTCTCAACGAGATGGATCAACACAGTAACAGTGGACACAACTATAGCCGAGATGATGAGGGTAATACAGGATCGGGCAGGACTCAGATGCCTTGTTCACAGAGCTCAGCTCCATTATTCATTCATAGGGTTCCTATGAGTCGTAATCGACTTGATGACACCTAAACAACAACCACCTATTTTAAGAAGCCCCAGTGTCATAGATAGTGATCGGTTGCTAGAAAAGTCAGTGGTTCCGACAATTAGAACTCACCTGCTGCACCTGGTGATCTGCTAAAAAAAAAAACAACTTAGGAAACCTCATGGGTAGCTCTACTTTTTCCTATGAATTTGAATCAGTTGGAAATACCAGCATGTGATATGAAAGTTGCATTCATTTGCTCAAAAGTAACTTTTAACCTATATGTCAGCCACCATCCTAGGGCTGAAAAGAAATAAATTTGTAACCTCCATGAACATATGGCCCAGAATTTTTAAAGTGGGTTCTGGAACCCTACAATCTGAATTTTAATCCCAACTGTATTATTTCCTAGGTGTGTATTCTTGGTCAGGTTACATAACCTCTCTTAAACTCGGGCTCTTCATCTATAAAGTGGGGGGAAATCATAATTAATGGGATTATTGTAAGACTTAAATAAGTTAATACCATAAAAATGTTTGACATAGCTCATGGCACATAGTAAGATGTACTTAATATAATTTGTGATGAACTGCAGTAACGGAGAAGGTGAATAAGCAAATACGATATTCTAATAGAAACATTAACAATGGGCTGTGGGATACCATAGAAAGATTCAGATATTTAGTTATATTTGAGCAGGGCCTTTAAAAGTGTTTGCCAAATAGAGAAGGAAGAAAAGGCATTTGAATAAGGGGGGATTGAGTAAATATGGAATACTTGAGTGAAGTTGAATAAGGTGTGCATCCAGGATGTGTCCTATCTCCATGTCTTTTCAATCTATATGCGGAACAGATTATTCAGGAGGCTGGGCTCTATGAGGAAAAATGTGGGGTCAGAATTGGAGGTAAACTCATCAACAATTTGTGTTATGCAGATGACACAACCCTGCTTGCTGAAACAGGAGGACCTGAAGCGCTTGCTGCAGAAGGTCAAGGACTGCAGCCTCGATATGGATTGAAACTCAACATCAAGAAAACGAAGATTCTCACCACTGGGCCAATTGGCAGCATCATAATGGATGGTGAAGGGATTGAGATTATTAACAGCTTTCGTTTGCTTGGCTCCACAACCAACACTCTTGGTACCAGCAGCTAGGAAATTAAAAGACGAGTTGCATTGGGAAAGTCTGCTGTCAGAGATATCTCCAAAATACGGAAGAGCAACAATGTCAGTCTGGAGACTAAGGTGCACATGATACAGGCCATGGTCTTTGCTATGCATCAGAGGGCTGGACAATGACTAGGGATGATAGAAGGAGAATTGATGCCTTTGAGCTGTGGTCCTGGAGAAGAGTACTGAATATACCATGGACTGCTAGAATAACAAACAAGTTCGTTCTGGAGAGGGTGAAGCCAGGCAATCCTTGGAGGCAAGGATTTTAAAGCACCATCTGACATACTTTGAAAATGTTGCAAGGTGGGATCAGTCCTTGGAGAGGAGCGTCTTGCTTGGGAGGGTGGAGGGACAGCACAGGAGAGGAAGATCCTCGATGAGATGGATTGATCCCATCACTGGGGTAATGGGGATAGGCGTGTGGGAGACAATAAGATTGACAAGTGATAGAACAGGGTTTAGGGCTGTTTTACATAGAGTCGCTATGAGTCACAGGCAACTCGACAGCACATAACAACAACCCAGAAATAGCCTTGCTTTGATATTTGAGGCTGCTGCCTTTCTAGACATTATAAAAAAAGAAATGAAATGCATAAATATTGACATATTAGGTATTAGCAAAATGAGATGGACTGGCATGGGACATTTTGAATCTGACGATCATATGATCTATTATGCTAGAAATGAAAAGGTGAGAAAAAACAGGGTCACTTTCATAAGTTAAAAAGGCCATTCCTAGATCCATCCTGAAATACAATATTGTGACAGGATAATATCCATTCACCTAGAAGGAAAACCTTTTAAAACCACTATCATTCAAATTTATGTGACAACAATCAGACCCAAAGAGGAGGAAATAGATGATTTCTATCAACTGCTGCAGTCAGAAATTGACCAAATATGTAACCAAGATGCATTAATAATAATGGGTGACTGGAATGCAAAAGTTGAGAACCAGGAAGAAGGATCAGGAGTCAGAAAATATGAATTTGGTGACAGAAATGAGGCTGAGGAAAGAATGATACAATTTTGTACAATCAATGATTTATTCATAGCAAATACCTTTTATTAGAAACATGAGCACAGGCTATCCACGTGAATTTCACCTGATGTGATGCAAAGGAATCAGATTAATTACATCTGTGGAAGGAACCTTTGGAAAAGTTCAATATCAACAGGGAAAATTAGTCCAGGTACTGATTATGGAACAAGCCATCAGCTGCTCATATGCAAGTTCAAATATCAAAAAGGTTAAATCATATCCACAGGAATCAAAATTTGCACAATCAATAAGAGTGCATCTGAATTCCAAAATCAATCTCCATAATAGTCTATGTGTTTCCTACTGCCAAAGGGGCCCTTTAGAGTAG